CCGTTCCGTCGCTGGATGTGCATGCGCGCCCTTCGCACGTCGCGGTTGCAGGGCTGGCGAGACGGCGCGTGTCTGGATCGACATATGCCGCTTGCCGCCGAATTTTCGCTTCGAGATCTCTCCTCCGCCGACGCGTCACCTCTTGGAGGCAATCTTTTTTCGTTTTTCATGTGATGGACGTGCTTGTTCTGTCAAATCACGAACGAAAAAGGCTGGCCCTGGAGGGGCGTCAGGACAAGCAGCAGGCACGGCGCAGGGAATATTCGACATCATGCAGAGCTGCCGTCACGCGTGCTTCCTGGCCCCATCGATCTAACAATTCGGATGGCGCAAGGCATGTGCACGCAAAGCAAGCCCAACTATATATCCGTAACATGTTGGTTGAGGTGCGTCAGGCTGCCGCGGCATCAGTCCGCGGGTTGTTTTTAGACGGGCCCTTCGAACGGGGGGGCCACGCCGGAGCCTGGCAGACCCCATTCCTCGCAGGCTGATGCGCGGGACGTTTTTGCATTGCTAAGTTGTTTTGTGGACGGCGGCGCCAAGGTGATGTCCAAGCTGCCTCTGAGATTATGTTAGAAACTGTCTACCTAATGTTGAGCTGCGCGCGTTGCCCATCGATGCCACTATCGACCAGGATGCAGGCGACCTCAGCAAGCCAGCTACAGTATGTTGATGGAGTGAGCATATTTCGGCAGGGCGAGTTGCTGCAGTGGGAGCGGGCCCCCCGTGCGAAACGTTTTCTGCAGCGCGGTGGAAGGGCGGCGCCCCCCCCCCCCCGTGCGCTCTTGGGTTGTTCCGTAGGGAATGGCGGCTCTTATCCCCGGGCAACGTTTGCAAATTCAGATTGCGAGCCTTCTTTTTGTGTCACACATCGAATTGCCGTCAGTTTGTTCAGAAGTAAGTTCTTGGGAGCCAAGAGCAGTGCCCTGTTGGAGTTTTATAGCTCTTGATGGCGCCCCTCGTGCCACGTATGCGGAGTTTGATCAGTGTGAATTTGGCCAGAAGGCAGGTCGGGCATCCACAGGTATCCTCGCCATGCGTCTGGAGACACTGCACGACACGTTGCGGGGTACTCTTGGAGGGGGCAAGTGCAGTCACGGACCCAGAGCTCACTCGACTTTGCTCGGGCGGGATCCCGCCGAGGAGCGATTCAGGATTGATCCATAGAGAGGTTACCCTGGAGCTACTTGTAAAGTTTAGGTCAGGCTCTCTTGGATGCTATCTAGCCATATGTGGAGAGTTGTTTGCGGGATACAGACCAGGCAGAGACGTTTGCGCTGCGTCCGTTTTTTTTTGATTCCATGTAGGTTCCCTCGAAGGCTCCAGAGATGGGCCCTGCTTTTGCGATGGCTAGGTCTAAGCGAGTAGATTATGCGATCGCGCGCGCCAAGAAGGCTTTAGACCCAGGTGCCACAAGTTTGCCCATTGATGAAGCTCAGGAGCTTGAGAATTCGCGTTCAGTAGCGACCATGTCTGCATTGGGGCTCGGCCTTTGGTTCCGTCGCACGATAGAGAAGATGGGGCAGTTCCTTATGTTGCGCACCCCCCGTCCGAACCCTCCTCGTCTCCCACAGTGTGCGCTCTCTAGAATTGCGGCTAACCGTGCTGGAGCTCTTAGAATGGGGAGAGCCCGACATGCAGAGGCTTGGCGAACCCCCATTGTTTCTATCAGCCGTTTTGGAGAAGAACCTAAGCACACGTCCAGACAGGATATTGAGCTCGTGCAGGCTGATCAGCATCGGTGGCTTCGTTCTGCTACGCACGCTTGATATTTCGCTCCCGCGAGTGTGTTTAGCCACCCGCATCGCCAGCAACATCACCATCATGCATCACCGCCACCAGCAGGGCGCCCCCCTGTTGCACGGCCGCGGGGTGCAGGGGCTTCCCCTCTGCGGCAACAGTTGCGCAGGGGGGGGGGGGGGGGCGCTTTCTTCCAGCTGGGTTGACGGGCGCGGGGGCCCTAGGTTTTCGTCCTGCCTGGCGGCGTTGGCGACGCGCAGCCAGCCCTGGAATTCGGGCTGATGGGGTTCCGCCAGGCAGGCGTTTCGTGGACTTGGGTCAGCCAGTTCACCCCGACCGTCGTCCTGCCCCCGTATTGCTGCTCACTTGCGGTAGCCAGACGCTCTGTCACCACTGCGTGTGCCGGCGTCCCCGTGCACGCGCAGCCGCGGAGCGCTGGAGGTACCCCCCCCCCTCTGCGGCGACAGTTGCACAGGGGGGCCGCCTACCTTGAGGGCGGGCTGGGCGCGGGGAAGGACTTGGTTTAGCGAGTCCGCCTCGACAGTCGCCCAGTTCCCCCCCCTCCTTAAGTTTTTTTTTGTCGTCCTGTTTGGCGGCGCTGGCGATGCGCAGCCAGCCCTGGAGCTCGGGCCTATGGGGTTCCGCCAGGCAGGTGAAGTTGGATTTGGTCCAGCCAGTCCACCTCGACAGTCGCCCCGACCCTCCCCTTTTCCTGTGCCATCGGGGCAGATCATTCAGAGTACTTCGAGCCCAGAAGCGGCACCTCCACGGAGGTAGCGCTGGAAGGAGGGATTGGTCATGAGGGATGCATGGAAGGGTTCGGAGTCTTCGGCATAGGCCTGGCTTGTGCAGCATCGTGCTGTTTCTGTGATCCGTTGGGTCATGTCGTTGTTCCTTTTTTATGTGAGGGAATACAAGCAGCAGCAGCAGCAGCAGCAGCAGCAGCAGCAGCAGCAGCAGCAGCAGCATGCCGTCTTGCTTCTCTCGCTTGCCCCCCCGCCGCCCGACGTCGGCAACGTCACGTCACTTCAGGCGCGCCCACCGCGCCTGTCTATGAGGAGGAAGGTGGAGGATGTGGGGGGGGATAATGGGGTGGGAAGGCTTCGCGCGGGCGTCAGGTGCCCTTCGCTCTGTTGCTTGATTTCCCAAAGACGAGGTATGTCGTTGTGGGTCCTTCAGGGGGACCCCATCGAGAGCGCGTGGGCCTGCATGGAGCAGGTCTACGGCCTGTCGGGGCACTCTTGGCCCCGACGCGCCCCCAGCAGCAGCTGACGACAGCCCTTTCGCGGACATCCGATCCTCCTCCTCCTCCTCCTCCTCCTTCCTCCTCCTCCTCCTCCTGCTCCTCCTCCTCCTGTTGCTCCTCCTCCTCCTCCTCCTCCTCCTCCTCCTCCTCCTCCTCCTCCTCCTCCTCCTCCTCCCTCCTCCCGTCACCCCCCTCACTTCGGCGCACCCCTCACGCGCCTCGTGGCCCCATAGGGAGCTCCACCGAAGGCCCCAGCGCTACCGTCCACATGCGTCCCCCACAGCAGTTTCGGCACACCCGTCACGCGTTTCATGGCCTGATAGGGAGTTCCACCGAAGGCCGCAGTGCCACTGTCCACGTGCGTCCTCCGCGCCATTTTCGGCACACCCCTTACACGTTTCGTGGCCCCATTTGGAGCTTCACCGAAGGCCCTAGTGCCACCGTCCACATGCGTCCCCCGCACACATTTCGGCACACCGCTCATCCGTTTCGTTGCCCTATGGGGAGCTCCACCGAAGGCACCAGCGCCATCGTGCACATGCGTCCCCCGCATTGGTTTCGGCACACCGTTCAAAAATTACCAGAGGCCCCCGCGCCACCGTCCACATGCGTCCCCCACATCCATTTCGGCACACCCCTCACACGTTTCGTGGCCCCATACGGAACTCCACCGAATGCCCCAATGCCACCGTCCACATGTTTCCCCCACACCCATTTCGGCACACCGCGCACACGCTTCGTAGCCCCATTGGGAACTCCGCCAAAGGCCCCCGCGCCACCGTCCACATGCGTCCCCCACATCCATATCGGCACACCGTTCGCACGTTTCGTGGCCCCCCATAGGGAGCTTCACCGAAGGCCCCAGTGCGACCGTCCACATGCGTCACCCGCACCGATTTTGGCACACCCCTCGCACGTTTCGTGGCCCCATGGGGCGCTCCACCGAAGAAGATATTCACACTTGCAGTACGAACAACTGCAAGTGGTTGGGTCCTTCGCCAAGCGGAGTATAGTGTTTTGGAGCGCCGCTTCGGATTAGTAACATGAATCGGGGGCGCTGAACACCCGGGTGACCCAAACAGCGCACGGCGGCGACGTAGCGGCGGCGGGCCCCCACCGTGCCGAAATCGTGGGAGCCGACCCAACACTCAGAGACAGGCCAGACTTGGTAATTGCGAGTACTGCCAAGCTACATTGTTCAAGTGAGTTGGAACTTTCGATATTATGTCAGAAGTGCTAAAACAGCCGGTGGCTTAGATCAGCTGCCTGGGCGAGAAGAGCTACATGCGGCAGAGGGGGGTATCATTGTTAGCGCAAGTACACGAGTTAGAAGAGATAGGCGGCTTACTAGACGAGTCCAAGAATTTGACCAGCAAATATAGGTATCGCGCGAGTGTAGTGAGGCAGACTAATTGGCAGGGTTAGCAGTCCTAGCAGGGTCCATACTTAGAAATGCTTGGAGTGCCAGCCGAGCTAAATGGGACAGAAAACGCTGGATGGTTAGAACACTTGTATACGTACGGTAGGACGAGTAGAGGGGCTTGGAGGAGTTAAAGTAGTTGGAATATCTATAAGGCTTGGAAGGGCCGATACCGGGCCAACGCCGACGCGGGAGCAATGGCCAACCGAAAGGTGCAGTCATCCCCCCCAGCCCCAAGATCACCCGACGGGTGATTTTACAGGTGAGTTGATCCGTGCGCACACAGACATCCATGAGGTTTCCACCGGACTTTTTACAGGTAATTAGACTCCCTGTACCCTTCGCGCGATTTGGCTGCGAATGAACAGCACACAGCCCGAGTACTTCGCGCCCTTACGGCGTCCAGTTCCCTCACCCCGCACCCTGCAGGGTGGTATGATCCTTTGGAGTTCTCGGTTGGGTGCTCTCCTTGTTTCTGCCCTCTTTGGCCCCACGCTCCCGTCCTTCCCCGGAACCCCACGCTTCCATCGATTCTCACGTCAGCCTCAAGGCGCACGTAGTGAGGGCAGTGCCTGGACGGCCCCCACTGAGGAGTTCCTCATCCACCTGCAGGACATGGAGACGGACATCAAGCAAAAGGGCGAGCTCGTCGAGGAGTCGGGTCGGGGTGCCGACGACGGGACGTGCCCGAAGTGCTAGCCCCCCCCCCACCCCCCCCGCTATAAAGTGTCTTAGGCTTGACCTGATCTAGAGCAACAATACTTCGTGGGGCCCTTCGAGTAATGGCCTGAAGTTGACGGGCGCGACGGCGAGGAGGAGAACGAAGAGGATAGAGGAAGAAAAGGGGAGACAGGGAAGAGGACGAGAGTGAGGACGAAGAAGAACACGATTAAAGGAGCGACGGAGACAATATGCAGTTATTAGTATCAGGATTCGGATCTGTCATGTTTGTTGATCTGGCGCCACCCCGGAAGAGAGGCGTGGAGGAGGGGATGAGATGAGGAAGTGGAGTGGAGGAGAGACCATAGATCGAGATGACGAGCGGAAGAGGGTGTGCAGGAGGGGGGGCGAGCGGACAGAGACGAGGGAAGAGTGGGAGAGACGAAGAGGGAGGAGAGGAGGAGAGGAGGAAGGGGAGGATGAGAGGAGGAGGAGGAGGAGGAGGAGGAGGCGGAGGAGGAGGAGGAGGAGGAGGAGGAGGAGGAGGAGGAGGGGGGGAGGAGGAGGAGGAGGAGGAGAGGGGGAGGAGGGAGAGGAACATAATAAGCAGCGAAGGAAGGACTAGGGAGAACAGCTGAGGGGAGATGGGGGGATGAGGGAGTATATGGAGAAAAGGGGGAGCCGTCGCCATGTTCGTCTCGCCAAACTAGCAGGATGCATTAAGAGGCAGGAGCACGCTTGCCAACACAATGCAAGTAGAGACGGGCTTCCTGACGTATACTGTGTTCTAAGATGCTGCACGTGCGGCCTCTTCCTCCTCGACTTTGCTGTGGCCTTCCCGAGCATGGCGCATACGTGATTGTACGCGCAGTTCTGCACAGAAGATTCCCCAGCACATCATTCACGCCGTGCCGCAGATGTGGGCGGGCATACTGTACAGGAGTAACACAAGCATAAGGACAGAAACGTGAGTTTGTCCTGCGGCATCATATGAGGAGGGATATTCAGCAGGGGTGTCCACTATATGATGCCTTCATTGCTACAGCCGTCCGCACCTTTCGCTGTTTGAACACCGCAATGGCCTCATCGTTTCGCGGATAACATTGGCATCGTGTCACAGGATTTGGTCGCCGCGACTCCCGTTGTGTTTAGGATCTTCTCGAGGGTTCCACTACTGTTTTGGATTGTCGCTGCAGTATCGTTTGTCTGTTTTTTTCCCGTGCTGCATATCTCGCACAGGATCTCACAGCGATCCCATGGCCCTGAGATTCAGGTGTGCGATTTCGCGGGCAGCACCGGTGGTAAGCACATCGGTGCGTTTATCGGCCCAAACAGGCCATCGTTTTCCTGATAATCTCTTTTAACAGAGAGTCAATAAGTCGGTGTGGCACACCAAGGGCAGATGTTTACGACTGCGTCAACACATCACCGCGTACGACTCGTTATGCCTCTCGGTCTTTAGATTTCTGAGCCAGCTGCACCAGGCTCCTGTTTCAGCGCGCAGTAATCAACGCGAAGCTCACCAATTGCTGGCCTCTGATCCCCACCCCTCTGTCCAAGTGGATGGTGGAAGGCAGCTATCCAAGCTCGATGCTACCACTGACCCCAAGGGACCTCCAACGTCACATAAGTTTACGGAGCTTTGAGAAAAAAACTCGGCTGTCCAGAGAACGAGGAAGTTGACAGACTTGTCGAACAGTGTCATCGCTCTTGTTATGTAAGTACCCTGTTGACACTGGCAGGGCCCCGCACAGTGTTGTGAGTTGCGTGCATATGGTCGCGGTGGTCTCCAGTGTCGTGTGGTTCTCACTGTTGGTCGCAGGTAGGGTGTGTTCGCTTACAAGCACGACTGGTGCTCGCATGCCATTGTGGTGTTCACAGGCCTACGGACGACGACGACGACAACGACTACCCTCGACGAGGCCACCTCATCCTTCGAGCCAGCAGAGTGCGCCCAGATCCCGCCCAGAACGCAGTTCTATAACTGAAGTTAAATCACACTGGTCGTGTCTGCCCGGCCAGGCCATCATCTCTTCTTCCTCGTCCTCCCAATCTCTTTCTTCCTTTGCCTGTCCCTGTTTGGAGCACTTCGCGGTAAACTTAGGAGGACGAAAACGAAGAGAGGAGGAGGAGGAGGAGGAGGAGGAGGAGGAGGAGGAGGAGGAGGAGAAGGAAACAGAGGAGGAGGAGGCGGCGGCGGAGTTGCAGGAGAAGTAGGAGGAGGAGCAGGAGAAGGAAGAGGAAGCGGAGGACGATGATGGCGCGAGCTAGTGCGGGCAGATTGTGGTGCTCACGGGTGCTACGTCGAACCTTGCTACACGGCTGATGTGCGCGCGAGCGCTGCGGCGGAGCCAGAGCCACATGGCCGGGTAGGGGGTGGGAAGGGGTGGGCGTTACGTCATGCCCCAGAACCCCCTCTCCCCCTAACCCCTGTTAGGGCCACGAATCAAAGGTGCGCGCCAGTGTATGGACGAGGGGAGAGGGAGGAGGGAGAGGAGGAGAGAGAGGAGGAGGAGGAGGAGGAGGAGGAGGAGGAGGAGGAGGAGGAGGAGGAGGAGGAGGAGGAGGAGGAGGAGGAGGAGGAGGAGGAGGAGGAGGAGGAGGAGGAGGAGGAGGAGGAGGAGGAGGAGGAGGAGGAGGAGGAGGAGGAGGAGGAGGAGAGGAGGAGGAGGAGGAGGAGGAGGAGGAGGAGGAGGAGGAGGAGGAGGAGGAGGAGGAGGAGAGGAGCGGAGGAGACGGAGACGGAGACGGAGATGGATGATGAGGAGGTGGAGGAGGAGGAGGAGGGGAGGAGGAGAGGAGGAGGAGGAGGAGGAGGAGGAGGAGGAGGAGCGTGAGGGGGAGGAGGAGGAGGAGGAGGAGGAGGAGGAGGAGGAGAAGGAAACAGAGGAGGAGGAGGCGGCGGCGGAGTTGCAGGAGAAGTAGGAGGAGGAGCAGGAGAAGGAAGAGGAAGCGGAGGACGATGATGGCGCGGGCTAGTGCGGGCAGATTGTGGTGTTCACGGGCGCTACGTCGAACCTTGCTACACGGCTGATGTGCGCGCGAGCGCTGCGGCGGAGCCAGAGCCACATGGCCGGGTAGGGGGTGGGAAGGGGTGGGCGTTACGTCATGCCCCAGAACCCCCTCTCCCCCTAACCCCTGTTAGGGCCACGAATCAAAGGTGCGCGCCAGTGTATGGACGAGGGGAGAGGGAGGAGGGAGAGGAGGAGAGAGAGGAGGAGGAGGAGGAGGAGGAGGAGGAGGAGGAGGAGGAGGAGGAGGAGGAGGAGGAGGAGGAGGAGGAGGAGGAGGGGAGGAGGGGAGGAGGAGATGGAGGAGGAGGAGGAGGAGGAGGAGGAGGAGGAGGATGAAGATGTGGAGGAGGAGGGGGAGGAGGACCAGGAGGAGGAAGAAGAGGAGGAGGAGGAGGAAGACGACGACGAAGACGAGGAGAAGTGGCATATGTAGGAGGAATCGGAGGGGGCCGAGCCGAGCAGAGGCGGGATGGAGAGAAGGAGGAGGGGGAGAAGAGGGGGAAGTAGGCGAAGGAGTGGGTAAAGCAGGAGGAGCAGGAGGAGGAGGAGGAGGAGGAGGAGGAGGAGGAGGAGGAGGGGGAGTAAGGGAAGGAGGCCTGCCCGCTGGGGGGGTGGGGGGGTGGGGGGCGTCCCCAGAACATGGACAAGGCCATGAAGGGTGGCAGGTAGAAGTGAGGGCCCGCCCGCGGGGCTGCCTCCAAGGACCCCGCGCTGTCGGGGCTGCCTCGGTGACAGCGCGCCGTTCCACGCGCGCGGGAAAGGATGGCTCGAAATGTTGGTGGCCTGGGTTTGAGGACGCAGCGTCCCCGAAGAGTTGGGATGGAGCTGCTTCTCGTCCTCCTCCTCGTCCTCCCCCTCTTCCCCCATCCTTGTCCTTATGAATAATGCCTCGCTGTCGCACCCCGGGGCCAGTCGGAAGGGCGGGCCGGGCGTTTCGCCTGAGACTCCCCGACCACTGATGGCCCTGAAACTTCGAACCTTGCAGCAGCTTCTCAGATGGCCTCTTCCAAAATGTGGCTCTCGCCTTGGCGCCGGGCACATTCGCTTTGAGCATGTGCAAAAGCTTCATGGATTGAGGGTGGGTGGTTTTCAAAATGTGGCTCTCGCATCAGCGCCGTCCACATTCAGTTTACACATGTGCGAGGGTTCCACGGATTGAGGGCGGTTCTTTTTCAACATATAGTTCTCGCCTCAGCGCCGCGGACATCCGATTTAAACATTGCAAGAGTTTCACTAGTGGAGGCCGATTATGTTTCATCATGTTGTTCTCGCCAAGGCGCCGCGCACATCCATTGTTTTATCCTGGTAAGAGCTTCGCGGATGGAGGGTGGCTCTTTTTCAAAATCAGTTTCCGATGTTCAATAGTTTCGTTGACTCTCAGGGTCAATTCATCAAGCCTGCGTTTCGGAGCGATGTAGGGTTGTCGGGGCCCAGCAGCTCCGTGGATTCGCTGTGCGGAAGTCCCAGGAATTTGGTTATGGCAAGGTTCTGGATCGTCAGGACGCAACGGTAAGGTTGATTCCGTGGCGTTGAAGTCCCAAGAACGGTTGTCTCCCAACGGTGCGCATCCCTCTCGGGAATGAATCTTTCTAGAGGCCCATGAAGAGGGAGCGCGGAGGGAGGTTTCTTTGCACCATCGCTAATGAATCTTAGGTTTGCAATGGTTACCCATTTCATCCTCCTGCTCCTCCTCCTCTACCTCACAGATGTCCTCCTCGCCCTCCTCCTCCTCCTCCTCCTCCTGCTCGTCCTCCTGCTGCTCCTCCTCCTCCTCTACCTCCTCCTCCTCCTCTTCCTCCTCCTCCTTCCCCCCCTCCTCCTCCTCGCCCTTTTTTTATACCGTTGGGCAAACTTCAGGAGCACTGCCTGCCTGTAGCGTTCTCCTCCTTCTCCTGCTCCCTCTTCTCACCCTGTTCCTCCTGCTCCTCCTCCTCCTCCTCCTCTTCCTCCTGTTCCTCCTCCTGTTCCTCCTCCTCCTCCTCCTCCTCCTCCTCCTCAGCCTCCTCGTCTTCGTCCTCCACCTCCTCCTCCTTCTCCTAATCCTCCGCCTCCTCCTCCTCCTCCTCCTCCTCCTCCTCCTCCTCCTCCTCCTCCTCCTCCTCCTCACAGTCCTGCTCTTCGCCCTCCTCGTCAGCACCGCTGAGAGCTATTGCAGGCTCGCGCGCGACCGCAGCCCTACGAGAACCTTCTCGCGCTGGCGCGGGCCGGGTCGGACGAAGAGGGCGGGGGAATGTGCAAGGGCAGAGGGCGAGATTTGCTGCGTGCAGCTGGTTTCGGTCCCGTCGCCGGTCGCCCTCCCCGATACATCTCTGTCGGGGCTCAAGAGACGGGGGTCACTGCAAACGGGGGGTCGGTCAGAGCGCCGGATATTGCAGGATCCTGCTAAGCCAGGGGTGCATTGACTTGGGCTAGCGCGCAGGACCCTGCAAGATCCTGCTCGGCCGGACTGACCCGGGTTTGCGTTGACTCGGGTCAGGGAGTCCCCGAATCTGGCCCCACTGCGGCCTCGGGCTTGCAGCTGACTCGGCAGCGCCCCTTTGCTATCCCCCCCCCCCCTGTCGCCCCACCCCTGGCGGGGGAGGAGGAGGAGGAGGGACCCTCGGGACCCTCGCACCAGGGCCATTTGCGGGCGCTCCCTGCCCGCAGCCGCCCGACGCGCGGCGACGCCTCCCCGCCCCTTTCGCGGCACGCCCCTGCGGGCAGACTCACGCGCGCCATCGCGCCCCGCGATAGGCTGCCGCGGCGACCGCGCCGGCACGCCTGGCCCTGCGATCGCGCTCCGGGCGCGCCCGGGGGAACTTGCTTGGCATCGGCGACCCCATCGAGCCAGAGGACAGGCCCGACTCCTGCTTCGGCTGGCGCAGGCGAAGCGATCCCTGCAACGTCACCCCTCTGCTCCATGGATGGCCCCAGGGAGGTGTGGCACGCGGAGCGTGGCAGCTCCCACGAGAACGTGACATGCTGCTACAAATGCGGCTGGCGCCGGCAACTGTGTATGAACAATCTTGATCTTGAACAACCTTCGGCGGGAAGGAGTCCGAGAAGGAGCAAGATACTACGGCGCTAACCACATGGGCGGGACGATGTGGCAGTACCCGCGCCATGGACAAGGAATCGCTCGTGCGCAGCGTCAGTTGGGTCGACAGGCCCATCATGCGTCAGGATTATATCATTGAAAGCCGCCGAGGGCCCTCCATTGTGGGCACCAGTCCAAGAGATGGCGATCAAGAAGAAAGATGGTCTCATGGAGCTGCGCGCCAGATGAACGCCCACACCACACGGAACATGCGCTGCACGGACGGCGGGGACACCAACTAGGGTACCCTGAAGATCGCGACGCTCAGGAGGCCCTTGGTGAACGCGACAACCATGCTGGAGCGGAAGACCGAGACGGACCCACCCATCATCGCAGCGAACAACTCACGAGGAAGCCATCTGGAAGAGGGCCGACATGCACGACCAGATCGCGCGGCCGGACCTTGACATCGAGGCCTTTGGAACAGGAGCTGATCGTTCTGAAACAAGCCTTCTCCGATATTCAGCAGGCCATCGGTATCCACCTGGATCAGTTTCTGCACCTACATGGAATCATGCTCGAAACTGGTATCCATTATTGAGGTCAGGCCCAAATCCAGCAGCAACTCTTGCCCACGCAACAGCTCCTTCAGCCACTCGCGATCAAGTCAGGCGCTGCGACGGCAGGACGAGCAACGGGGCAGTTCCGGCGGATGCAGGGCGAACCGGCCCAGGAGCTACCCACCCCCCTTCCAAGGACAATTGCCAATCTTGCCGTCCTTCCAACAGAAGCGGCAGATGCTCAGTGGTTCGGCAGGTGCGTCAACGCCGAGGACTGGATGAGGGGCGGCGGGGCGCGCTGGAAATAGGTTTCCCAGTTCAACAGCTGCGGCGACCAATCCACGTGAGCCCATCAAAGTGGACTCGCTGGGGCAGGGTTAAGCGGCAAGCCGGGTGACGCCATCCTTCGGGACGGGCGCGCCGGGTGGAACGGGGGGCGCAGAGAATAGACAAAACGGCCCAGTTCACGGACAAGAGCGGAGGGCAGACACATGTGGGACAGCTTCGAGCGCGCCTGAGTATCGAATGGCCTTCGGCCCGCCCCCCTCCTGTGCCAGGGTTGTGGGTCGTGGGCCTCTAGGGTGTTCGTTGGGATGTCGCGGGAGGGAGGCCTTTCGGGGGCCTCTGGGGGAGGTCCCAGCAGGGCCCCTAGAGGCCCAAGGAAAGCTCAAAGACGGCCACAGCTCTCCGAGACGCCCCAAGACGGCTCAAAGGGGCCCCAGGACTGCACAAGAGGGCCCCCAGAGGGCCCAACAGGGCCCCAGCCCTACCCCCAAGAAGGCCCAGAGACGCCAAGCTCTTAACACCAGGGCTCCACAGAGCGAGCGGGGACGTGACCAACTTTGAACACCAGGGCTCCCCAGAGCAAGTGGTGACGTAAAAAGCTCTGAGCACCAAGGCTCCCAAGAGCCCATAGTGTCGTGACAAGCTCTTCACACCAAGCCTCCCCAGAGCAACCGGTGACGCTACAAGCTCTGAACACGAAGGCTCCCAAGAGCGAGTTGTGCCGTAAAAAGGGCTGAACACCAAGGCTCCCAAGAGCCTATACTGACGTGACAAGCTTTTAACACCAAGGTTCCCAAAAGTACATCGTGTCGTGAACAGCTCTTAACACCAAGGCTCCCAAGAGCTCACAGTGACGTGACAAAGTCTTATCGCCAAGGCTCCCATTGGGAGCTTTGGTGAGTGCTCGCTCTTGAAGAGCAAACAGTAACGTCAACAGCCCTGAACACCAAGTCTCTCCATAGCGAGCGGTGATGCAAACAGCCCTTACCGGCAAGGATCCCAAGAACGAAGGATGCCACGAGCCATCTCGGGCAAGTTCCTGAAGCGCTCGTTCCGTCACCGTGCGGGCCCAGGTGACGGAAAGAGCGTTCACGCGGTTCCGTTCTTGGTAGGGCGTCGGCCCAAGGGGGGGGTCCAGGGGGGGGGAAGGTTTGGTGCAAAGTCGATTCGCCTTCCGGGGGCCCAAAATTGCCTAAATGGCACTCGATACGGCCCAAGTTACGCCGAAGAGGCTCCCAAGATGGCCCAAGAGGGGTCAAAGAGGGCTCCAAGACAGCCCAAGGCGCCCCAAGATGGCACAGGACCGCCTAGGACCCTTCCAAGATGTCTTCGGATGGCCCCAGCGCGGCCCAGGAGGGCCCCAAGAAGGTCCAAGAGGCCCCAAAAGGATCCCCAGGAGGGCATGAGGAGGCTAACAACTTGATGGTCCATGGGTTGGTGTCCCCCAATCAGAGCTTGCCTCTGTAGGGATCCGAGCGGATTAACATGGTTAGGTAAAGCTTGCCGCCGACTTCCGAGGCCCGCCCGGGTGCCTGATAGCCCCATAGCCCTATAGCCCTGTAGCCCTCTAGCCCTATGGCCCTATAGGCTTATAGCCCTATAGCCCCATAGCCCTATAGCCCTGTAGCCCTGTAGCTCAAATAGCCCCATTGCTTTATAGCCCCAGAGCCCTAAAGCTCTATGGCCCTATAGCCCCATAGCCCTTTAGCCAAATAGTCCTATAGCCTATAGCCCTATAGCCCTATAGCCCTACAGCCCAATCGACCAATGGCCCTATAGCCTAAAGCTCTATCTCCTAATAGCCCTATAGCCCCATAGCCTTGTAGCCCTATAGACATATAGCCCTATAGCGCCATAGTTCTACATGCCTATAGCCCCATTGCCCTATAGCCCTATAGCCCTATGGTCATATAGCCCTCTATCCATATAGCCGTATCTACTCATAGCCATGCGGCCCTATAGCCCTATAGCCACATAGTCTCAGAGCCCCATAGCCATATAGCC